AATTGTGCTAATCTGAGTTTATCATCTGCTTCCTGGTAGAACCCTAACATACAATGTTTCTATGTCCCAGTATTTCCAGTGAACTGGCAGTTAAATCTGAGGGCTTGATCAGATTTAGGTTAAAAATTTTTGTAAAAATACTTCACAGATGGCCCAGCTGGCATGGCTCAGTGATGGAGTGTTGACCTATGAACCAGGAGGTTGGGGTTTGATTCCTGGTCAGGGCACATGCCCAGGTTGCGGGCTCAATCCCCAGTGTAGGGCATGCGAGAGGCAAATCAATCAAGGATTATCTCTTATCATTGATGTTTCTCTCTCCTTCTCCCTTCCTCTCTGAAATCAATTACACACACACAGATATATATATATATATATATATATACACACACACACACACACACACACATATATATGCATTCCTTTACATAATTGTAAAAAAAATACTTCATGGATGATGTTCAATATGTCATATTGTTATCACACTAGAAGGAACATGCTATCCATCCATTATAATGATCCCATCAACTTTTCACTAAATGTTGTTTAGATGTCGTGGATGATCATTGTCCCTTGCTGTTATCAGGAGTTCGAAAACGGTGGGATTCTATCATTTCTTCTTCATGAATTAGCTGGAAATCCTCTACAAAGAAAACTTCTCTTATCATCGATTTGGTTACCCTGGGGCACAGTCGGTTCAGGAAAGGCAGGATCAATGCCTGCTTCTTCCTCTTTCTCATTTTTCAAAAGGTATGACCTGGTTTCTCCAGAGGTAACCAATGATGAAGTCATGGATGGATTTTAAGATTTGATGTTTTATTGGTTCATTTTTATTCTTTCTGATGCTCAAATTGTCCCATTCCCTGGCCAGCGAGAGCCACTACAAGTCAGCTGCTGAGCTCTTTAGATACAGTCCCAGGAGTCTTCCTAAGTCTTTCATACTTTCCTTGCTTCTAATGCAACAAGGTATTCCAGGCTCATCTTGTATAGTTCCTGCCTCGGAACTGGAATCAGCCATTTCTCCAAGGAGCCCTGGTTCCTTTTAATGAGAAATGGTACTTGAGAAGCCACAGTAGGCATGTCCCTGGACACTGAGCTGTTCGTTTTTTCTAGATTGTATTTCCGCTAAGAAAATAATACTTTCAGAGAGAAGATACATCACGTGCTCATACTGATATTTGTGATTTAGCCTGGCCAGTGTTGCTGAGTGGTTGAGTGTCGACCTATGAACCAGGAGGCCATGGTTTGATTCCCTGTCAGGGCACATACCCAGGTTTCAGACTTGATTCCCAGTGTAGGGTGTGCAGGAGACAGCTGATCAATGATTCTCTCTCATCACTGTTTCTCTCTCTCTCCCTCTCTCTTCCTCTCTGAAATAAATTAAAAAATCTTAAAAAAAAATAAAAATAAAGAACTAAGGAAAGAATGTTCATGTGTCCAAACCACCAGACATCTGGAAGATTACCATCTCAGACCAATCCAGAGACTCAGAATGCAATACTATTTCTTTTCAAAGATGTAATTTTTACTATAAGAACTCTCAACTTTTCTCTTTTTTATTTTTTGGAACACTCTGAGTGCTTACCTGGTAGTATTTCCAATTTGTAAACCCTAAGACCCTTGAATAAAACTTGGTCATTTTCGATTTTGGCAAAGCCTCCTGATTCATTTACATTCAGTTGACACCATTAACCCGGCTCCCACGCAGTCTCCAGATGGTTGCCCAGGCTAGTTAAGGGCTGGCAGGATAAGCTATGCCCACTCCCAGCCAGGTGTTTTATCAAAATGCTATGCAGGCCAAGTGTGACAGGAAAGTGCCAAGCAGCTGAATTCATCTCCCAATTCTTATCCACGTTAAGGAATGACTACCAAGAGAATCCCACTTCATTTCTTCTGGAACATTTCCAAGAGACTATCTAGCTAGGCCCAGGCCAGAAGCCATCCTCTTAAGCATTCCTAAGAATGTGCCAGCTGAGACTAGTGCCAAGGAAATGTTCTCCCACCACCACTTTCCGATGCCAGAAAGTGAATGTACAGGTAAATATAAAAGATCATATTTTTAGATTTCTCCAGAAGACTGTTGACTAAGTAATGTTAACAATGTGTTATGGCCCTAGCTGATTTGGCTCAGAGGATAACGCGTTAGCCTGCAGACTGAGGGTCCCGGGTTCTATTCTGATCAAGGGCATATGCTCAGGTTACCGGCTTGATCCCCAGTAGGGGGTGTGCATGAGGCAGCCAATAAATGATTCTCTCTCATCATTGATGTTTCTCTCTCTCACTCTCGCTCTCCCTTCCTCTCTAAAGTAAAAAATAGATATATTTAAAAAAAACACACAAAGTATTTTGTATGGGGTTTATAAACTAAGTAATAGTGAAACACGTGACACCAACAACAAATTCCCAAAATGGGAAATGAAGTTGTGGTAACATACTTACATGGTATGTGAAGGGTAAGAATTCATTCAAGGCAGATGGTAATAAGTTAAGGAATCATACTGTAATCTATAAGGCAACCACCAAAACATAGAGGCATAATGAGAGGGGGTAAAACGGGATGCTGAGAAATGACACACGGCTAAATGATTTACTTTGGCCAGCGAAAGGGGAGTAGGTGTGATATATGTCACTTCTGGGTAGGCGCATTTCAGAGCCAAGACTTGGCTCTTGCTGTTCGGTTTCCTTGTTTTGTGTTGAGGCGGCAGGATCGCAGGATGGTGTGCAGTGATTGTGTGGAACAATGCATTCCCACACCCACATGCCACACACTTGCTGACATTCACTGGACATTCAGCATAAGAAATAAACTTTGTGTCAAGCCTCTGAGATTTTTGGTATATGACGGATACACTTGCATTCCTGGAATAAAACCCACTTAGTCACCATGTATGTATTATTTTTTAAGATGCCGGTGGAGTCTGTTTGTAAGTAATTTTTTTTAATATATTTTATTGATTTTTTACAGAGAGGAAGGGAAAGGGATAGAGTTAGAAACATCGATGAGAGAGAAACATCAATCAGTTGCCTCCTGCAACCCCCTACTGGGGATGTGCCCGCAACCAAGGTACATGCCCTTGGCCGAAATCGAACCTGGGACCTTTCAGTCCGCAGGCCGACGCTCTATCCACTGAGCCTAACCGGTTTTGGCTGTTTGTAAATAATTTACTTGTTTACTTCATTAATATTTTTTAAAATATTTTATTGATTTTTTACAGAGAGGAAGGGAAAGGGATAGAGAGTTAGAAACATCGATGAGAGAGAAACATCAATCAGTTGCCTCCTGCAACCCCCTACTGGGGATGTGCCCGCAACCAAGGTACATGCCCTTGGCCGAAATCGAACCTGGGACCCTTCAGTCCGCAGGCCGACGCTCTATCCACTGAGCCAAACCAGTCAGGGCTTCATTAATATTTTTAAGTTTGAGATTAATCTACGGTTTTGTGTGTGTGTGCAATCTATCAGATTTTGATAACAATGATATACTTGCTACATAAAAACAATTTAGCCCTGGCTGGTTTTGCTTAGTGGTTAGAGCATTGGCTGGTGGACTGAAGGGTCTCGGGTTTGATTCCCTGTCAAGGGCATGTGCCTTGGTTGCAGGCTCGATCTCTAGCCCCAGTCAGGGTGCAAATGGGAGGCACCCAGTTGATGTGTCTCTCTCACATCGATGTCTGTCCCTCTCTCTCCCTCCACTCCTCCCTCTCCTCCACTCTCTCTATAAAAAAAATCAATGTAGCCCTAACTGGTTTGGCTCAGTGGATAGAGCGTCGGCCTGCGGACTCAAGGGTCCCAGGTCCGATTCCGATCAAGGGCATGTACCTGGGTTGCAGGCACATACCCAGTAGGGAGTGTGCAGGAGGCAGCTGATCTATGTTTCTCTCTCATCGATGTTTCTAACTCTCTATCCCTCTCCCTTCCTCTCTGTAAAAAATCAATGAAATATATTAAAAAAAATCAATGGAAAAAGCCTCAGGTGAGGATAAATAATAATTTAGATTACTTCTCTTGTTTTCTATGCTTGGAAAAAAGTTTAAAGAACATTGGAAACATCTATTCTTTAAAGGCTAATAGAATTCTATGAACTTAACTGGACCTGGACCTTTTTGAGGGGAAGCTCTGTGACAACTTTCTTAAGTTCATCTATGGAAATGGGTGCTTGGATTTTATATATCTCTACTAGGGTTAGTTTGGGTATATTACATTTTCCTTAAAAAACTATTTCACCTAGATTTTTTTTTCAGATGTTCAGATGTATTTGCAGTTAATGATTTTACTCTTGTTTTGATAATTATTTCCTTATTATTTTGTGTATTTGTGCTTTCTTTTTCTAGTTTTAAATTTTTGGTTTTTTTCCTAGTAGTTAAATTGTGTTGATTTAAAAAACAAAACAAAAAACGACAAGTTTCTTTACTGTTTGGCTCACTGGCAACCTTGAATTCCCTGGGATGAAATCTAAAACTGGCCCCCGGATCAACTGAAGGGGCAGGCCAGTTCAGATTGGCAAGTGGCAGGTTTAATATGCAAGGGACCTTACATACAAGGCTTGTCTTGGGGCAGCCATCAGCCAGAATCTTAAGTTTATATAACTTAACAAGCTCAGTCATGTACAGTACAGAAAGATGGTCTCAGCAACACTTGATTCTCTCAAGGCTGCAACCTTGAAACAGCTCCAGCTATGGGAACCGACAGGTCCACCACCAAGGTCAACCAGGGGGCACATCTTCTCAATGGTCTCTAACTTCTCATCTTTGTTTTCTAATTATCCTTTTATCTTTCTATAGTATATATTGCTGCTAGGAAGCCTGCTGACATCTAATTTTTCTTTACTGTAGAAGCCACTTTGTCTTTTTGCCTGGAGGTCCAGAGGATTTCTTTTTTTACTAAGACCTTTCTCAGAGTTGACATAATTTTAGTAGGATCTTTCTTAAATTGACACTTCTGAGTCAACTTTCCCAAGTATGCACACAGTGTGTCTTTACAGTATTTATATTCAGGGTGTTTTCTTTTCATGGGGAGGAAAGTTTTATTGAATTACCATCCTAATATTAATTTTGTCCCATTTTCTTCTATTCTCAATATAAAATTCAATATAGTTGAATTTTCAACAATATTAAATTTAGATTGCCTTTGCCTCTTTTTCTTGTCACTTTCTCTTATTTTCTCTTTCTCTTTCAGTTGAATATCTTCCCCTTGTGCATCTTGAATTTAGGTTTCTGAGATACTTTAATTCAATCCTTTGAGTCCTGTCAGTTCCCATTCACTTCTACCTGTTGTGTGGTCATCTCCATCAAGTTTTTCATTTGTGCTGTGCTGTCTCACTGCATTTGCTTGTCCAGTTGTTTTTAATTCCTGTTGGAATATTGCATTACATTTTTCTTCTACCTATAATGGCTTTTTTTTCTTAATAAGTATGTTTTACCTGCTAAAATGTTTGAATTTTCTGGTTTTGGTCTCTTCCTACTATATTCCCATAAAGATGCTGCAGTTTCATTGTATTAAGGTGGACATTTGAGCATGCTAGGTTTACCTAAACGATTAGCAGGATACAGTAAGAAGCGGGGCAGGGAGAGGGTTTGGGTGGTTTTGTTTCTCAAGGACTCCCCCTCCTGGTGCTAGTGAGACACAGACTCATTAATACTTAGCAGCTTTTGTGGACAGGCTTCCTCGGGTTCTGTTGCTTTAGTAAGTCTATCACCAGCCCCTCTGTGCTCTCCATTACACCACCTCTGGCTTCTGAGGTGCCGAGCTCACCCCCCGAAGGGGTACCTCACCAAGACCGTCAGTTCTGATCCCGTGCACTTTCCACACCCTTCTCTACTCCTTCCCTGCCAGAGCCAGCTTACCTGGGTAAAGCTGTTGCCATCCAGGTGCTGATATTGCTAGGACTCCTCCAATTTATTGGCAAGTTATTTGTTTCCTTTAAAAAAAATTATCTTCATTATGTAAAGGATTACAGATGCCCCCTTTAACTGCTTCCCCCATTGACCTCCTGCATATTTGCTTCTATATGGCTTAACAACTTCCCACCTGCACTCACACTCATTCCCAGACTAATCTGCTCATCTGGGTGAGTTTCCTAGGGCGGCCATAACAAATTACCATAACTTGGTGCCTAAAGCAACAGAAACTTATTCTTATAGTGCTGTTTACCAAATCAAGGTGTCACCAGGCCACCTCCCTATGAAGGCTCGAGGGGAGAATCCTTCTTTGCCTCTTCCTGCTGCTGGCAGCTCCTGGTGTTCCTCGGCTTTCAGCTGCATCACTCCAATCTCTGCCTTCACACAGCCCTCTTCCCTGTGTGTCAGACCTTTCTCCTTTCTCTCATGAGGACACCAGTCATTGGATCTAGGTCCTCCCTAAAGGCTAAAGCTCTCAGTGGCTTAACATAGTAAGAATTTATTTGCGGCTCAGTGAAGAATCCTGTCACTTAAGCGCTTGGCTCCACGCTCCTCTCGGGCCTTAGACCGCTCTCCATGCAGCCAGTGGTTGGGGAAAGAGGAGAGGGGTGCTCTTATGGGAGATTGATAGAAGCCAGCCCGGGAAATGGTGCACATCTCTTCTGCCCATTTTCACTGGCCAGAACTCAAATGGCCACATGAATAACTGCAAGGAAGGCTAGGAAATGTAGTGCAGCTGTGTGCCCAGGAGGAAAGGAAATATATTTAGTAAATAATCAGTCTCTCTGTGTACATCTTTTCTAAAAAAAAAAAAATTTTATTGATTTCAGAAAGAAGGGAGAGAGAAACATCAATGATGAGAGAGAATCATTGAAGGGCTGCCTCCTGCACGCCTCACACTGGGGATTGAGCTTGCAAGCTGAGCATGTGCACCGACCAAGGAATCGAGCCGTGACCTCCTGGTTCATACGTCAATGCCCATGCTGGCTGGGCTCTGTGTACATTTTTTAATACTATTCTATCATTTTCTGATTTTCTTGTAATGACTTAACCACAAAGTTCAGAAATGACAGACTTCATCTCATTCACTTAATCCCTTACTCATAGGCATAAAATAATCTTTGCATACTGTATTTGCATACCAATTTGGTTTCTCCATTTCTTGGGATAGCCTTGTCTACCCATATTTTAACGCTTATTTTACTTTTTTTTTTTTAATTTTTTTAAATATATTTTATTGATTTTTTACAGAGAGGAAGGGAGAGAGAGAGAGAGAGAGAGTTAGAAACATCGATGAGAGAGAAACATCGATCAGCTGCCTCCTGCACACGCCCCACT